TCTTTAAGGTAAAGGGTTTTTTTTTAATATACTTTTATTTGTTTTGTTTTTTTTTATGTGGTGCTGCAGATCAAAACCAGTGCCCCACATGTGCTAGGAAGACTACCACTGAGCCATAATCCTAGCCCCAAGGTAAAAGGTTTATAGTAACATTGTATCAAGCTGGTGTTTTCCAAAATAAGTTGTCTAATAATTTTAGACTTAGAAGGATGACAAATTTTATTGGGGATTTATTTATGTCATTTAATGTTCTATAACTAGACTTGTTATCAATAAGATTTATAAAGTTTTATGTTACCTTTTACACTGGGATAAAATTTTAACATATTTTTAAGGTCATAAGAGCCTAAACTGCTCAAAAGTTAATATTGTAAACACTAAAACAACTTGACGTTTTTCCACAAAAAAAGGTTAAATGCTCTCTCAGCCTTTCTTTAATTCATGTTTTAAATGTAACACCATATTGTATTTTGAATATAATTTTCATCTTTTTATTGATAATCTCTCTTTGATGAAATATTATCATCAAATATTCCTTTACTTCTTTAAAAAGGGCTTCCTTTAGTTCTTCAAGCATATTTATAATGGCTGTCTTGAAATTTTTGTCTAATTTGGTCTGATATGTCTGCCTTCTTATTTTTATGTAAAATTTTTAACTTATATATGACAGCAGAATGATTACAATTCTTGTTACATATATAGAGCACAATTTTTCATATCTCTGGTTGTATACATAGTATATTCACACCAATTTATGTCTTCATGCATGTATTGGATAGTAATGATCATCACATTCTACCATGATTAATTACCCCATGTCTCCTCCCTTCCCTTCCAACCCCTCTTCCCTATCTAGAGTTTGTCTATTTCTCTCATGCTCCTGCTCCCTATTCCACTATGAATCAGCCTCCTTATATCAAAGAAAATAGCTGGCATTTGGTTTTATGGGATTGTCTAACTATACTTAGCATTATCTTCTCTAACTCCATCTATTTACCTGCAAATTCCAAGATTTTATTCTCTTTTATTGCTGAGTAATATCCCATTGTGTATATATGCCACATTTTTTATCCATTCATCTACTGAAGGGCATCTAGGTTGGTTCCACAGTTTAGCTATTGTGAATTGTGCTGCTATAAACATTGGTGTGGCTGTGTCCATGTAGTATGCTATTCTTAAATCCTTTGGATATAGACCAAGGAGAGGGAAAGCTGGGTCAAATGGAGATTCCATTCCCAATTTTCTAAGAAATCTTTTCCCCCACATTCTTGCCAATACTTATTGTTGTTTGTCTTCATAATAGCTGCTATTCTGACTGGAATAAGATGAAATCTTAGAGTGGTTTTGATTTGCATTTTTCTAATTGCTAGTAATGATCAACATTCTTTCATGTATTTGTTGATTGATTGTACATGATCTTCTGAGAAGTGTCTGTCTGTTCTGGTCCTTGGCCCATTTATTGATTGGTTTATTTGTTTTTTAGTGTTTAGCTTTTTGAGTTCTTTATATACCCTAGTTATTAATGCTCTATCTGATGTGTGAGGAGTAAAGATTTGCTCCCAAGATGTAGGCTCTCTATTCACCTCACATATGGTTTGTTTTGCTGAGAAGAACATTTTTTTTTGCTTTGGAGCATTTATTAGGGACAAAATTTGGGAAACTTATCCTCCCAAATACAGGGAAATGAAATTAGAAGAAATTGTGAAAAATCAAAGACATGAGGATGAAGATACCATAATAACCTACTTTCTGAAAAGATACTGAAATTTTAATAGGCAATTCACAAACTCCATTTATCCAACTCCATCACATTCCAGCACTAGGTAAGCTTCATCAGTGAGAAGAATTTATCATCTAGCTAAGTTCATATGCTGACTTCATTTACTACTTCATACTGTTCGTATGCTGACTTCATTTACTAAGCATGCCTACAGTAAGCCAGTCCCATGTTAGCACCAGGGACACAATAGTAAAGAGTTGCCTTGATCCTGCTGCAAGATTTCTCTCAGGCCTGTATTAAAACTGATCTCTGACTCTTGTACTTAAGAGAAGCAGAATTATTTATAAAGGCATCTGAAAAGAGAATTGACATTTTGCTTAAATAGAACTTGTTATGAAATTAGCTGGTAAACAAAAGACATTTCTCAGCAGCGAAAATGAATTTCACATATTCCAAATACTAAAATTCATGAGTAAGGACCATACATATGACTCTTAGAGTCCACATATTCCAATTTTGTATACAAGTCTAGAAATTGTGATGCAGGAGAATCCTGGCTCCTTTACAAAGAGAAATTTTGAGAACTTCCAAAGCTCAAGGGAGTCAGGCTGTGCAGTCCTGATTTGCCCTCCTTATCTTCTACTGGGCTTAATTACATGGTTTCCAAAGTATATTTAACTAACAACCCGCAATTGATAAAATAGCAAACGGTGCTAGAGCATTGTGAAGTTAGAGGTTACCCTGAAGGATTTGCTCAGGAAGTATGTTGCATAATCTTTAGAGAAATCACCTTCAAACATGCTAAGGTTTTACTGCCCTGTAGAACATCAGCCAGTTTTTTTTTATCTAAACTAGCAATGTTTCCTTGGGCTAACTGTATGTGTGTGTGTAAAGCACTTAAGGGAATCAATTATTTTACCTAATTGTCTGATTTCCAGTTCCCACACAAATGGTTTAAATAGTATTTGACACAGTCTAACAAATAAATTTGTTCAGAAATTTTACTCTTAAAGCTCTGTCTGATCCATACATCTGAGATGCCACCTGCCCTCAGTCTTTATTCTTTTCTGTCTTATTTTTATAATTCTTATTTTTTTACAATACATGACAGCAATGGAAAATGTTATAATTTTTATTACACATATAAGGGACAATTTTTCATATCTCTGTATATAAAGTATGTTCACACAAATTTATGCCTTTATACATGTACTTTGTTTTTTTTTGCATTACAATTTTAACACACATATATATCACAATTTTTGTATCTCTGTTTGTATATAAAGTATGTTGACACCCAATTCAAGTCTTCATGCATGTACTTTGGATAATGATGTCCATCACATTCCACCATCCTTGCTAATCCCCTGCCCTCTCCCTTTCCCTCCCACCCCTCTTCCCTATCTAGAATTCATCTATTCTTCCCATGTTCTCCCTCCCTGACCTACTATAAGTCAACCTCCTTATATCAGAGAAAACATTCAGCATTTGTTTTTTTGGGAATGGCTGAATTCAACTTAGCATTATCTTCTCCAATGTCATCCATTTACCAGCAAATGCCGTGATTTTATTCTCTTTTTGCTGAGTAAAACTCCATTGTGTACATATGCTGCATTTTTTTTTTGCCCATTCATCCACTAAAGGGCATCTAGGTTGGCTCCACAATTTAGCTATTATGAACTGTGCTGCTATGCACATTGATGTGGCTGTGTTCCTGTAGTATGCTGTTTTTAAGTCATTTGGGTATAGTCCAAGGAGAGGAATAGCTGGGTCAAATGATGGTTCCATTCCCAGATTTCCAAGGAATCTCTGAAAGGCCAAGGCTCGTTGTCGGAGATTAAAATGCACACACACAGATAGCAGTGACAAAGAGGAAGCACTTTATTGCAAGTTGGTGCTAGCTTATATAGAAAGTGAAAGTCAGTTATCTTAAACCAGGAAGCCCCCGGAGCCAATCATAGTAAAGGTCAGGTCATCACCTAAGGTGAATGCACATCTGCCCTGCATAATATTCATGGGGGCCACGAACTGTTCACGAGCTCGGAAGACTGGAGGGCCAATTAGAAGGTTTTCAAAACAACTTGTTATCCGCCCACTGGCAATTTGCCCGACACCATGTTACATTAAGGGCCCCTTATCTGAAAGGCCCAGGGAGTTCTAGCTGTCCACTGGCAATTTGCCCACTGCCATGTCTGAAAGGCCCGGGGAGTTCTTAGGGAAACTCCCAACAATCTCCATACTGCTTTTTAAAGTACATGTATGAAGACTTGAATTGGGTGTCAACATACTTTACATGCAAACAGAGATATGAAAAATTGTGGTATATATATGTAATAAGAAGTGTAATGCAAAACCAAGCAAACAAATAAACAAAAAAGAAAGTACATGTATAAAGGCATGTATTGGAGTGAACATACTCTATATACAAAGATACGAAAAATTGTACTATATATGTATAATAAGAATTGTAATGCATTCCGCTGTCATGTATTTAAAAAAATAAAATCAATAAAACTAAAAAAAATCCAAACCAAACAATAACAACAACAACAAAAAAAACACAATGTAAGTGTTTATTTATCTCTCCTGTGACTATGTAGGCAGGTTCATTACATAGAGGTCATCTAGGAAGCCAGGTATTCTGAAAGCTCTGCCATCCTCTGCCTGTGATCTCAACCTGAGGTTCAGGTACTCTCATATGGGTCCATGGAGGGAATTTAGGAGGTTTGTGATCTCAAATGGGAAAAATAATTACATTTTTTATTATCACCAGCCTCTACATGAAGTTTATTAATCTCGGTTATGAATGCTGACAACAAACCACAGGAGTTTTATAATACCTGTGGCATATGACACAACTATTAAAGAATCTTAGAATATCATCCATGCATATCACAGCTTTGGAATTACTCTACATACAGGACTGTTGCTACATTTTGTATTTTTGTGTTAATAAAGAATTTTTAGGGGCTGTGGCTGTGGCTCAGTGGTACAGTGCTTGCCTAGCATGTGTGAGGCCCTGGGTTCAATCCTCAGCACCACATATAAATAAATAAAATAAAGGTATTGTGTCCTAAAAATAAAACATTTTAAAAATAATTTTATATAAACATGTAACAAATGGAGTTAAACTGTTGATTATTATATCTCAATTAACTGGGTTTGTTATGACTCCATATGTTTTATTTTACACATTATAAAATGTTATTAGGAGAAGGTCAAAGGCTTCACAAGGTGACAAAGGGTGCCATATTACAAAGAAGTTTTAGGAACCCCCTGCTCCAGGATGTTGTCATTATGTTCATTGTCAACATGTGGCTGGTGGCATGCCTTGTTTGCAGCAGGCAGGAAGAGGAAGAACCTGGAGAAAATAAGTCAAGTGTTGCCTCTGTTTATAATTCCACTGCAGAGA